GAGCAGTCGAAGCTGGGTCTGCCCAAATACCCGATGGAACGTCTTCCCCTTCCGATTCGGACGAAATCCAAACAGTCTCTGCAAATTCTGAATCGGTCTGAACCTCTTCAAAAAACGGCTGATATGGATGTCGAGGCAGTCTGGGCAGCAAAGCCCTATCCCTCAATGGCAGGATATCACGCTTGCACCGTTGATGCTGCTCCTCAGCCTGTCGAAGGCGCCTGAGAACAATCTGATTCCTCCTGTCACGAGGATCAAACTGGTCGTGGTACACCACGAACTCGAGAAGGCCAATGAAGTACTCAAGCACCTGCAGGCAAATACTCTTGTACCTGCGCTTGAACACTTTTCCGCCTCTCTTTTCTCTGCGAACTTTCTCGAAACGGCTGACAAGTTGCGCACCCTTTCTAGGAGTGCGATCCCTTTGCATCAACGGGCACCGAGCACTAGTCAATGGCGATATGGAACAGGTGCGGTCAAATGAGTTGAACTCTTTGAGCCTGATATGCACAAATAAAGTACTTGTTCCACCTTTCTTGGACGTTATGGATTTTCTCCTCTTTATGCTTAGGACTACACTCAAAGATTCCTAAGGAAAGTCCGAGGAGCACTGGTTGTCTACCCTACCAAGCAAACTAGTATGGGATTGGTCTAATTTGGTCCGGTGTTGTAGTGGATCGCAAACACCCCGGAATATATCATTCACTTGAACGTGCGAACACACAATTACAAGGAGCTACCTCTATTGAAGTTAGGGTTATGGAATTCGGATCCTATCCAATGGCAGTGTTGCACTGGATCGCAACACCCTGCCCAGCACCAAACAATCCTTCGCAGAGAAACTTAGGCTTTTCTTCACTTGGCGAGACCTGGACCGGTCTGATTAATATGTATGTGGGACGAACAATCCTAGACCCTTTGCAACTCGATTGTGAGTTTATTAGAAAAATTAGTGCCACAGGCGGCGGGGGTGTGGCAACCAAAGGGGCTCAAGCTTTGGGGACCACAAATTTATGGAATTAGCTTATGTGAAGCTGAGGCTGTTAACCAGTTAGTTCAACCACGATACAGCCTTACGTAGGAAGTAGTCAAGATACACCCAAGCACAAGGCAACGCCCTTTTAACAGTACTTGAGCCAAAATAATTCGATAACAACCAAAATGGTTTATACAAACTGGCAAGTCATGGAATGTATGGTCTTTCACAACTATTTTTTTCAAAATTTCCCAATCTTTATTTTCGAATTTATTTTTATTATATAATAATCCTAAATAACAAATTATCTCATTACCAATTTTCACCATTACACCCAAAATTACGCATTAAACAATATTTTATGTAATATCATAGTAAAACATAAATATTATATTTTTAATAATATTCTTCAATTATTAAACATATTTATAAATATATATATATTCATTTTTTTTTCAATAATCTATTCTATTTATAAAATATTTATAATATATTAAAAAATTACAAAAACTAAATTAAAAAATCATCATCATATTCAAATATAATTATTTTAAATAAAACAAATATTTTCAATATAATCTATCCAGACAAAAATATAATATCTATATATATAATTAATATTTTTTTTTAAATAATTATAATAACTAAATTTAATTATTAATTAATTATCGAATATAATTATATATAATTTATATTTTTTTAAAATAATATTAATTAACCATTTATAATTACAATAAATTAATTAAATTAATTAAATTAAATAATTTTTATATATTATATCTATATAAATAATTATATATATAAAAATATATCACATAAATTAAATATAAATATATATAATAATATATATATATATATTAAAATGATTAAATTGTATCAACATATAATTGAAAAGAATTTCAAAATCAAATTTCCGACCATAGAAACAAATAGAAATGCAGAAATAAGAAATATCCGACAAAAAAAGGAGGAAGAATAAAGAAGATAAAGAATCAGAAGCATGAAGATTTAGGTGTGTGAAAAGATAGAAAAATCGCGACATGCTGTATTTTTCCAATGGTTTGTGGCTCCAGAGGGTCAAGAAGTAGTCTCGTGAAAGTGGCGGGTGCGGAGCCATCTAGTCAGATGAGAGATGGAAAAGTGCACGCCACTGTGGCGCGAAGCGCATTTCCAAGTCAAAATGTACAAAGTACCCCAGGTTCGGTTCACTTTTGGACATTGACATGTCGAAAAAGTGCACGCCGTTGAGGCGCGAAGCAGATTTGGAAGTCAAAATGTCCAAAGCTCACCATGCTCGGATCACTTTTGGAAGTTGAGATGTCGAAAAAGTGCACACGCCGTTGTGGCGCGAAGCACGTTTGGAAGTTGAGATGTTGAAAAAGTGCACGCCGTTGTGGCGCGAAGCACG